CATTATCCAAATGAGATATGATTTCTTTCTTTGTTTCATGATAGCCATGGAGTTTGCATTTAAATTTTAGAACCTCCTCGCGAAATCGTAGGTATAAACAAAATAGGTGCAACCCAAGCAACCTAATTACGGTAAAGATCAACAAATATAGTAGCACAACTTGCTTTCAAAAGACTGAATTTGTCCTGAGAATGCTGCTGACTTATGTAATAAATATCCTTAGCTCCCAAGATTGATGAGCTACATTCTCACTTCTGAACAGAGTTTTTATTTGGTTTTTATTACAGGAATGTGGCTAAGGGAATCAGTTGGTGACACTCGTGTCACAAAACTTGACTACCATCTCCTAATCCAAGATGAGATCGCATTCTTGGTACCCATGGTGGAGTATGCATGCACATAAAGAATACACATTATTTCTAAGCGATTATCTGACATTGAACACCCTGACTTTGAAGTTTTATGGACACACATTTGACCTTCAAGGTTGCCAAGAGCAATTAACGGCATAGCAATCTCTTTGAGTATCTATCAGAATCACTAACGCTTGTTGAAAGTTTATTTCCTGGTTGTGGCATTATAATAGCTGGTGATTTCAATTCTAAAGACCTTTGCCACAACTTTCAATTAAAACAACTGGCAGCCATGCGACTTTGGATCTTATACTCACGAACATGCACAAACATTACAATACACATCACACTCCCCTTTTGGATTGTCAGACCATAATGTGACAGTTTTCGAGCCCAAATTTAAAAGATCATTAGGGACTCGAGTAGAACAGTCATAAAAAGAGATATGCAGCAGCCATGCAAAAAAGAACTTGGTCGATATTTAAGTAACATTGATTGGCAATTGGGGTTAACATGTCCTCGATCCATATCTGGTGATGACAAATGTGATGCTTTAAGCTTTTTTATTAAAACAGGCCATGATATTCTTATGCCTGAAAAATATGTCAAATATGCAAATAGAAATGAATCCCCCTGGATAACCGGAGATTTGAAACATCTAATTAAGCTTCAACAATGCGCCTTTTCATCTAATTATGCGAGTCTTGTGCCCTAAATAGGGATGACGGAAGCTATTTGCCAAAAGAATATTTACATCTGATTGATAGATGACATCATTTTGAGAGTATATAAGGAACTGAGTTTCAACATCAGATCACCCCTAATAAAAGGCACTAGACCGGAGTGTCAAACGTTGGGTTGTGAAAGTTAATCTTTGTGTGGTGAGTACTTTCGTTTATTAAAACCAGAGTAGCGATAATTACGATGGATCTAATTAAGCTTTCATAATGCGCTTTTTCATCTAATAATGCTATCTTCTTAAAATGCTACCGAAATAAAGTGAATAGAATGAAAAATCCTGTTGGGTAAATTATTTCACCTCAAAAGTCAACAATCTAAAAAAGTTCAAACCCAAAGTCATGGTGGTCAGAGGTCGAACATATCTCCAGTATAAAATCAACACGTAGTTGTTGCTTAGTCAACTTTACCTTGAAGATACATCTAACACATAAGGGTTTTGCTGGCTCAACAGCCTAATAGAACATATGAACACTTATAATCCATGAAGTGTTTCTGACTTGGCTATTCAATTTGAAGGAATACCTGATGATCCATCAGATGCAGATATGAATTTGATGATACTGCAACAGTTTTGGGAAAACTGAAAAACCTGAACCCAAGAAAGGCAAGAGCTCGAACTTTAAGAGCTTAAATTAAGTCAAAAAAATAGGTACGCTAAGTGTACATGTATCTGCGTGCGGCAAGCAGGTTAGGGCAAGCATATAGGAAGGCAACACGAATAGATGGCTTGATATCAATATAATGTGCCTCTAGAAAGAAACAAATAATTAAAGACGTATAAGAGTTTCATAAGTTTTTACGTCTTACAGGTCTCACGTCTTGTGTATGTCTGGATTTCAATAAATAGCGAATATTAAGGCGGTTTTCCACTGGCGAGAATTTGCAATGAGCTTAATTTATTCATTTCACAAGCACGTTAAAATACGATTTACAATGTAAATACCCATACAGATCGGCCGCTCGTATTTTAATTAGTACTTAGTGCCAACAATATATAACAAGTGAATTTTATAAGTAACTTTTTAGAATATACGGTTATCCTTTATAGTCCATATCATATGACAGGTCAAAAGTACAGTATTAATGAAATCAGACAGAATATAGTGTCAATACAACGCAACACAGTTAAAATCATGTTCATTACGCTTCAATGGGCAGGAGTAATGGTTAAATCAGCAGTGTTTCTCGAAAAGAATGTAGTGAATTAGGCTTATAGGTCACAATTGGAATCCGTAGAAACTGCAGACAATGTTGAAACGGCAGGAAATTTCAGTTCCAGTTTTAGAATAGCCACAGTAGAAAAAACATAGCTATACTGCAGGAAATCCGTACAAGTTGCGTCGTTGATAAAACTCATATCGTTTGATCACAAGTTTAGTTTTTGCACTTTCCAATATTCTAATAAATTCGATCCATCCATTATCCAAATGAGATATGATTTCTTTCTTTGTTTCATGATAGCCATGGAGTTTGCATTTAAATTTTGTGCAAGAGGAATGTCCCATTGTTAATATGCCAATACATTCTTTAAAAAGGTTGCATTCATCTAAAAAGGAAAATTAAATTTTGTAAAGGAGAATGATAATGTGGCGTCTTAAAAAAGGAGCTAGAAAAGAAAATACGGGTGTGTGTGTGTGGTTAAAACGTTTTCTTACCTGGTGATAAAGTGACAATCAACCTTTTTTTAGCTAAACTTCTGCCAACTATGCCGCTTATTATTTGCTTTAATGAAAACAATTGACTAATGCACATATTGCTTTGTGATCTGAAAAATAAGTTTCTAAAATGTGTGAAGTAATTTCTGATTCTGGCAAGTTTGTGTATATATGATCAATTAACGTCTGATTTTCTGCAGTGACATTGAAAACTAATTGTCTGTAGTTATTCTCTTTGATAAAAATGTCATACAGTGGTCTTCTACTTTCTTCATCCAACCAATTGATATTGAAATCACCAATGAAGATGTTAAATTTTGAGTTTGAAGAGGTCAAAACTGTAGTTATTGCTGTACACAGCTGTTGTACTGGAATTCTGGGGGATCGATATATACCAATGATGGTAACATGAGGAAGAATCATCACTTTTATGAGAGTTACTTCAATGCTGTTATTATTATTAGAAACTGGATATCCTGGTAAGAATTCTACTCGGCTAAAAATTGCCATGCCACCAAAAGGTCGTGAGATCAAAGAATGGCTATCATTTCTGAACAAAGTATAACCATCAATCCAGTACATACCATCATTATCTGAGCTGATACATTGAGTTTCGGAGAAAATATTGATGTCAGTATTTGTGAAATTTAAATCATAGATAACATCATCAATATGTTTATGCAATGACCGTGCATTTAAATAACATAGTTTAAACGAGATCTGGTCTGTCTTGTAGATAGGAGTAACACTAAGAGTCAGTTGAAGTTCTTTCCTCAATAACTCCATCTCAGCTACCACCTGTGGATTGACAGCTATTTTATCTTCGCAAAGATCAGTGATGTATAAGCCTTCAATTGTTGTCACTCTGCTCAAACCAACATAATGTATATGAGGGATTTTTCTTCTAGTGTTGAAATTTACAACAATTTTTTCTTCAGTGTCACCTTGTGAACGGTGAATTGTCTTTGCTGCTGCAGGTCTCAGAGGAAACTGTTTTCTTACAATTTGTGCAATTTTGTTTCTTCCAACAGCAAACTGAGTAGTGATTGGTTTTATTGGAGTCCATGTGGAATGAATATCTTCAATATACAGATGTCTATTTTCATGTCTGGTCTTCTTTTTAATCTTTTTAACAACATTGCCAGCACCATTTGTTATGCCATCATTAGTCCGTATATTTAATGCTATCTCAGTTCTTTTCTCCAACTGACAATTTAAGGTTTGAAACAATTTGCTTAGTCTTTCTCGGATCATCTGGTATTTGACTTAAGATTTTATCTCGAAGTTGAACAGAGTTAGCACCGATAACACTATCTATTGCTTTGATTGAAAACTTTTCACTGGGTCCTGCATTATGCACTCTCTCATTGAATTCATTTACCTTTTTATTTTGTATGAACAAATGAGGGACATTCATAGGATCTGCGCTGCTATTTTCTTTTATCACTCTTTGAGTTTCAATATGTCTTCCTTTGTGTGTTTTCCTTCCCGAAGTCTATTTAATATCTCAGCAAACACTTTGCTTTCCTTCTGTTGCATTATTTCTTTTAATTCAAACATATTAAAGTGATCTTGCCATTTGTTCGGAGCAAGAACGCCATATTTTGAGTTGTCCAGATTCTTAAATATATACCTATCCATAACAGGTTCTAGTTGAAATAAGTCACCTATTGCAATGATGCTTACACCACCAAAGTCTTCTTTGCTTCCTTTGATGTCTTTGAGTCTATTATTTATTTGAATGTTGAACATTGTACTGCCAACCATTGAGATCTCATCCAAAAATATAAGTTTCAGACTTCCAAGTTGGCACCGTAAGGTGTTTAATCTACTTGAATCAAGTGATTTGTAATTTTTTAATGATTGACATGCAGGGATTGCAAGTGAACTGTGTATTGTCACACCTTTAATAATGTAAGAAGCTTTGCCGTTTGGCGCAAGGATTAATATTTTCATTTGATTGAAGTCATCACCTGCTCTAGTGTTATAATACTTCAGTGTTGCTTGATAGAGACATTTAAAGTGCCTATGCAATGAAAATTTCAAAGTATATCAAATAGCATGAAAGTAACATTTGAACCTGTTTCTTTCAATGCTGAAAGTTTCAGGGGTAACGGTTAAAAGAAAGTAAGGGTTTTATGGTTGAAAACTGTTGATTTTGTCCGAAATGTTGAGACACTCCTGTCCGCTAATTTGGAGGTCGTGTGACGTCATTGGTTGTGCATATTCCAAAGAGCGGTAAACAAAAAATATGGCGAGCATTCAAAGAGATCGCAAAAGAAGGGTTAGTGGAAAGTTTTGCGTCGCTGGTGGGCCGGGAAATATAAGTTGTAACAATACTAGCTTGACAGAAGGTATATCCATGCATACTTTTCCATCAGATGACATTTTAAAGCGAAAATGGACTAAATTTGTTCGGAGGCATAGGCCAGGATTTAAGCAATCTCAAACGTCTGTGTTGTGTTCAGTTCATTTTGAAAAACTTGTTTTACTCGTCGCTTGGATCTCTTTGACCCAGAAAGTGTTTATGTTGAAGTTTCAAAGGGCTGCAGACGACTGGTCAAAGGGTCTGTTCCAACAATTGACACGGCTCGAAAGGTAAAGCAGGACGATATACAAGATTTAACGACTCGAGATAAGAGAATGATTAAGAGACAGGTAAGCGATTTTCCACTATATTTAGTTATTTATTCCTGTAATAAATAAGTTATGACCTGCGGTCAGATGGCTACTTCTTAACGGATTTATATCAATACTTTATTTTTTAAATTAACGTAATTCTTGCAATATACGTTTAGGTACTCGGACCAACGTCAATGCCATCCTTTAGTCATGTGAATTAAGAAGGGACATCTGGGTGCACTGCCACCTACAATGGGTTAACAACGGATGTGAGTGTAGGATGCACTGTCATCCAGCCAACCACATTGCCAGTTTTTGGATTAATCTATTTTAATACCAGCCAAGAGTAACAAAAATGAAGATCCAGACTGGAATTTTAAAGAGGAATTTATAGAGGGTCCTGATGATGATGATGATGAAGATAATGAAGATCCTTGTGTGGAATCCAAAAATACAGTAAAGTATGTATACTGCAGTGTCAATTTATTGGCATTATGTATTACATTAGCAAGTTCTTAATGTAGTTTATTCTAAACTACTTAGGACAAACCAAATTCCTTTTCTAAAATTACTAGTCCTATTAAATTCCAACATATCCTTCACACCATGGTCAAAATGCTGTTGTGTATAATTATATAGTTTATTCATTTATCATATAAGTAATTTGTGTGAATTGTATTCTAAACTATCATTACTTTTTTTACATTTCAGGGTAGAACCTGGCATACCAGCTCATGAAGAACCAAAATTTTTTGTTTTTTATACAATGTTGTTAAATCTGTTCACAATGTTTTGCTTTCAATGCAAAACCCAGAGTCCAAATGTTACTATGAAGAGACATGGGACGATGGTAACAGTTGTTCAAAGATGCAGCAAATGCCTGAATAAACCATTTATCTGGCGAAGTCAGCCCTATATACTGGGACGATATCCAGCTGGGAACATTTTACTAAGTTTCGCTGTGTTGATGGCTGGAGCTTCAATTAGCCGGGTTCTTCTGCTATGCAAACACATGAAGCTGTCAGTCATATCAATCCGTACATTCTTTCTCCATCAAAAAAAGTTTGTCTTTCCAGCAATATTGAGATACTGGGAAACATACAGGGCCAACATGATTGAGCAATTGAAGAGATCTAAAGATGTTGTATGGAGCGGTGACGGAAGGTTCGATTCCATGGGCCATAGTGCCAAATATGGGCTCTACACAATGTTTTGTTGTACCACCTTAAAAATTGTACACTTTGAGCTACTTCAGGTTGGTATGTATCATTATATAGAGAGGAAGGGATAAAAATTCATCTTATTCCAGAAAATACCCCCCAAATTATTAGGAAATTAAAAGCTAACCTTGCCCTCTTTCAGCTATCCTATTAATACACATATTTCATCCAAAACAAATTTTACTTTTGAAAGGGAGTGTGTTTCTTTTGGGATAACCTGATACAAACTCTTAATTATTATATAGGCTTGTAGATTAAATTTTGTCTGTAGATTTTTAAGCATCCGAATTGATCTGCTCAGTTTATAATATAAAATTATGATGACATGACTTAAAATAGCTACATTATCTTGACCATTTAATGATTACATGATCTGAAATGGTTTTTTTACCCAACATCTGACAAGCACTCCAGCAGCTTATTATCAGTCTACTTGTAGTGGTCTAATATGGTAATTTGCCATTGCCTAGATGGTTTTTAATTTTTGATATTAAAATTTGTCTTCTATAGGCCAATCAAGCAGGAAGTAGTCAAGCAATGGAGTTACAAGGAGCAAAACAGTGCTTTGACTTCTTGTTATTGGCAGGACTTGCAATTTCTGTGTTCATTTCGGACAGGCACCTTGGCATTGCTAAATGGATCAGAGAGCACCAGCCCAAAACCAGTCATTTTTATGATATATGGCACGTTGCCAAATCTATCACGAAAAAAATGCTGAAGGCTGGCAAAAAGAAAGGTTATAAAAGAATAAATGACTGGGTGAAAGGAGTCCGAAGACATGTATATTGGTGTGCCACAAGCACAAAGCAAGGCTTTGAGCAACTTATATTGGCGAAGTGGAAGTCCTTTATGATGCATGTTGCCAATAGACATACAGGACATGCAGATCCGTTATTTCCAACTTGTGCTCATGATGAAATTCAGCGTAGAAAATGGATAAAGATAGGTACTGCACTAACCTGCTTTAGCAGATCCTGTTACATTATATTCACAGCTACAGTAATATTTTTGCACAAACCAGAGTAATTCTAACATGTGCAAACTTTTTTTGATAAACAAAAAAATATTTTAGGTCTGTTGTTGCATCACATTTTCACAAACTTTAACCAACTCTTATTTTATATAGGAACAAAGAGTCATGAAAAACTGAATTCAATTCTTATGAACACCAGGATTCTGAATGACATTAAAAAACTATCTCCTGATGCACAGACTAGCTGTCTTGAGGGATACCATGCGACATTGAACTACTGGCACCCCAAAATGATGTGCTTCTCTTGGCTTGGGACATATTGCAGGTATACTAATTAAACTACTAGCACAAGAAAGTCTGATTAATCTTATATAGCATAGCCCAATATGTTATGGAGGTTAAATTATTGTGAGTTTCTTACACCTAACTTTGCAAGCCAATGATTTCTAAACAGACTAATTATAAACTAATAAATAACACCATAAACTAAAAGCTATCTTTTATTTTGATAATAAATTCATATCATTTCTCTCAGTACAAAGTTCATTTCTCATTCATGGTATTACTAAGTATTACACGCTATCTCAGTTTACTATGAATACAGCACCTCATAACTGCCACTTCCTCTATAACTGTCAATCAGTCCTGCGATGACAACCATTTCCATATAGCTTACGTAGGTCTTGTAATAACAGAACCGTGCATCATTAATAATATATATGACACAAATATATGCCTCGTTCTTAAAAAATCTGCATTATATATAACCTAAATACCACATGTATATATGCCTCGTTCTTAAAAAATCTGCATTATATATAACCTAAATACCAAATGTATATATGCCTCGTTCTAAAAAATACCCCATTATAAATAAATACAACATGTATATGCCTCGTTCTAAAAAAAACACAATTAACACATTATATATGGCCTAAATATCACTTGTATCTGCTTCTTTATACAAATATTACAGATGAAACCACATATATATTCCTTGTTCTTAAAAAACCGCATTTTACAAATCACGGGGCTGGTGGCCGAGCTGTTTCCACAAGTGTGCGGTGTCGTATTCTGTGTTTTCTGGCACGCGTGCTTTCAGCGTCGGATATTCAACATGTTAAAGATTTTTGTGCACCAGTGAACATTTCCTCCTCACAGTGGTGCCACTGATGCCATGCAATTAATTAACAGTGGGTTCGAAAATTTCAGGCGCATTCGCATCAACTGTTAAGGCTCTAAACCAAAATAGTGGGCACTAACACAATCCGCGACGCAAAATGTTTATTAGGCTTGGGGTTTAGCCTAATAATAACTTTAATAAAGTAAGCTTAATAAAAGGTATTTTATCGTAAATATTAACTAATTAAATATTAACTAATAAAGTAATTAAAGAAGACGCTATATCTGTGGTCTGATACGTGTAACACGTGCTATATATACGATGACACTTCACATTTTTTTCTCCTTCTAAAAAACTGCGCTTATTGATGCTATTACATTAATGCCTCGGATCATAAATTTAGCTCACATATCAATGCTATATGACTTGTACTCTTCGTTTTAAAAAAAACACTGCAGAATATGCATATAGCGATTGTCACCGTTGAAATTGGTAAAATTTAAAAAGGCTTCTTGCCGCAATTCTCCAATCTTTAGCTTCAAACTTGGTCAAAAAACATTCATAAATAATAAACAAAATATGTCTTGGACAAAATTTTTTTCACTGTTCAGGGCTGTTTCCTGACATGGATTTCCTGACACTAAAAATTTATAGCTGCGAGAAATGCTAATCACATCACGCACACGGATACATGCACATCGGATACTCGCACCTCCGTTTGGATTACACAATTCACAAACTGTCAAACTTGCGTCTGTTTAACGATGCCACGCTCTTGTTTCATATTTCCACACACCGCTCTGAGCTGGTCACATCTACAACCGTGCTCTTATAAAATAAATAGTTATGGCAGGCAATCCTTTGACTAAAGTTTCAAGGCAACATGAAAGGACTTGGACAACTCTTCAGAGACGCATTTCAGGTATTGCCTAGGACCATACCAATCTCTTCAGTCTCAACATAAAGCGTTTTATAAAGAATAAAGCCATTTCGCTTGGAAGCTCAATTGGTTACTTTGTGTTAACTCTTTTAACAACAACCGCATTTATCCTTGCAAAGAACGAAGCCACAGTTAAAATCGGGAACCACGAACAAATACCAAATATTTTTACCATGTTCGTCGGCTATCTGGGGCTGGAAAATCAGCAGCAGTGGACCACAGGGTGACAACACCTATCTTGGCAGTCACGAAACCAGATGACGATCTACTTATAGGTAGAGCGACTTCTTCTGCCCTGTTTAAGCAGATAGCAGATAACAGCAAAGCGTAGGTTGTGTCATCAGAAATATATGACGTGCTCAATAAACGGTTAAAGTCAGATGATGAAACTGCCAGTGGCGACGTCCAATTGCTATGTAAACTATTTTCTGGAGAACAAGCCACCTACCACTACAGCACGGAAACAACGCGTGAAATACCTGCGAAGACTCCCTTCTCAATTCTAGGCTGCACGCAAATACAAAACGCAGCAAAACTTATCGCACGAATGGACCAAGGCCATGGACTTATTGACCGCTTTCTCATATCCATTCCTTTGGTTCTACGTCCTACATCACAACAGCAGGCTGATGCTAACGATTATATTGAGACAGAGCCGATCGATAGCTTCCTTGCGATTTTCATCGCGATAAATGACATTCATGAACAGCACACCTACAACTATACCTTTGACAACGACGCGCAACGACAGTTTCAGGACATGAACACATCATTCGCCGCTGAAGTCAACGTGGCTATCCTTGAAGGACAAATGCCTCCTAAGTCAAAGAAGTCTGACCACATACCGCGAATCGCCCTTGCTCTACACGTGTTCACCCATGCCACAGAAATAATACTTCATGGCCAAGACGTGCAAGATTTTCCAACTGAGATCAGCAAGGAAACACTTGACCGCGCAATTGCTTTGGTAAATCATTTGGAACAACAAAAGGACGCCATCTCCCAGGTAAATCGTATTGTAAATACCTTAAATAATACTAACGTTTTATTGCTAAAACGTAATTGTAAAAGGCTAGCTGTATGCAAACCTTGACAAATCATCTCAATTAATCTTTTAGTTTATTCAATCCATAACAAATGACGTTTGCGACAAGGTGAGTCATCAACCCACGCAATTTGATATAAAAACGGCAATACTGTCCTTTCCCGGTCCTGTCTTAACATAATACAGGGCTTTCAAACAATCCGTGTCGCCTTCTTCTCTTCGACTGGTAACCGCAACTGAATTCGATAATGCCCTGCAACAGTTGTGTCAACAGTATGGGGCATTAGTCGTCGCAAGAGTGGCAAGAGCTCCAAAACCAACAACGGTTTTCGTAAAGAAAATCCCTACCTCAGTCGACTCCTGGCCTTCTGACGCTTTTTAAAACGGGAGATTTATGAACAGAAGTATAGCCGCCCATGCCACACAGCTTTCTCAAACCACATAAAGCGATTGCTAGTCAACCAGGGTATGCTATCAGAAGAACAAGCAAACACATGATCGATATAGGTTCGAAATGAGCATATCCTTGCAAGTGAGTTTCTGAATTTGCCAAATGTACTTGCATGTAGCCACTACCAAGACCAATGTTATATGAACACGTTTCGCATTTGTTATGCAACATTTTATGCGGTGGCAAATCTAGGGATACTCAGAATAAATTACTTCAGCTTAAAATCGAATTACATTGCTAGATTTTTATTCAAAAATATTCTTTTGAAACCCATAACCAATAGCATTGATATTAAGGTGTTTTTTAATTCAACTGTGTAATTTATTCAGACTGCTTCGAGATCCGCCACATATTTCACCACTTGTAAATAGTTTGTTATAGAGTAATTTATATGTTATGGTCTTATTAAAATTTCTCACTCACATTGACATTACGTCATTATTTTCACTTTGTGTCATCGTATCATCGTATCATTGAAAAAATATACCTTGCCCAGTCTTATTAAAATTGCTCCCTCACATTAAATTTCTTGTTAATTCATTTTTAGTTGATATAGTTACTTAACTTAGTTCATTTCTTGCTAATGCATTTTTTCTAATAGGTTAGTGTTTAAGCATTATGCGTTATGACATCTAACATGACGTATTATTCCGACTTTGTATCATTGTATTGTGATAACAGGTAACGCTCGCCCAGTGGCCGGGTATTCTAAAATCGCTCCTATTTATCTGAACATTCAGTATGTTTCATAGGTGTTCCTCAAGGCTCATGTCTTGGTCCCTTTAATATTCACATTTTGTATGCTAGCAAGTTGTTTGAAATTAAGAGACATTTGTTTGAAGTTCATGCATATGTGGATGACACTGACTTGTATATAGCATTCAAGCCACTGTTGAAAATGTTTTTGCTGCTGTGTGACGTTGTGTACGGGATATAAAAGCCTGGGTGTTATGTGACAAACTTAAGATTAATGAGGCAAAAACAGATTTTATCCTGATTGGTATGAGGCAACAGATTTTGAAAGTTCTTACGAACTCTCTTACTGTTGCTGATGTGCGGGTGTCCTCAATTATGGCACTTGGATGGGTAGCGATCTAAATCTTCAAGTTAATATTAACAGTGCATGCGAGGCTGCATATTACGATTTGACGGCACAAAAGCTGATTCATGCTTTAATAATAGGGCGTGTTGATTATTGCAATAGCATTTTATATGGTCTACCAGCTACACAAATAACAAAGCTACAGCACTTACAAAATGTCCCTGCTGGATTGGTTCTTAATTTCCCTAAGAGACATTAGGTGATTGTGCCTTTTTGGCTGCGGCACCGAAAATCTGGAATGAACTGCCGTATTATGTACGGAATGAAGAAAATTTAAAAGTTTAGTGAAGACACTTTTTTTAGACTGACTTTCTATTAGTATTTTGAATTATACATTTAGAACATATTTGTAACTTTTAATCTAATTTTTTAGGTCTTGTGCACTTGATCATATATACATGGATATCTGTGCAATATAAATAATAATTTATTATTTCATTACATTGTGTCGTCAGAAACTTGTCCTGCCCAGTCAACTACTACTACAATCCGGATTCAGCTTGCGGTGACAATCATCAATCACAACAACTACCTATGTAGAATTAATCACAACAAACATAAAACAAAAAAATTAGCATGTACTGTACAGGCGGAATCATCTATATAATTTATAGTCCTAGGGCCTCTAATTACCTCCAAGTCATTCAACAGCCTTTGTAACAATCACACATACACATTATGAGACAATTGACAAGATCATTTGAACATACCACAATAGGATACTGGTATACATGTATGATGCTCATCTACCAATATGGCAAATGCAAGTATAATCAAGAGAATATGTACATACTACATACAGTATGACCAGTTTCCAGGTTAAAACTATCCTGCACAATCTGAATGCTACTGTTGTTGTTGCTTTTTAGAAAAGGCAAGCAACAATTGAGGAAGTTATAAATGATGGGTACTGTACTGTATATTAATGATTGCAGTTTATTATATAAAGTTACATTGCTTTATAGAGATTTCAAACACTGATAAAACTGATAATCTCACATGTGAGATTATCCATAATAATTATCGCTTTTCTGTGAGAATTAGCGCTTTTCAAAGACTGTCAGTCATTTACATAATAAACAGAAAAATACATGGATGCTTGTTCGCTCCACTCACTCGTGAGATATGAATCTGGTATTTTTGTGCACCCATGTAATATTCTCTTCATATAATAATAATCTGAGCCTGCATACCGTATTCATTCTATTAAGCCTCCAGGGGGCTTATTCTTTTCACGCCCTTTGGAAGGGGGGGGGGGTTAATTGAGAGGGGGGGCTTATTTAATTATTCATAAAATCTGAGACTATCAATTTAAAGCTGTTAGATCCTTGAATTGTCGACCCTTGATGGAGTGACAGTAATATAAGTCAGATTTTAATTTTTCTCTATGTTGTTTATATTCACTCAGTGCAAGTGGGTCACAAGACGATGTACCAACTACCAGCAGCAGTTTTTCCAGAAACAGCGTAGGGATTTTAAAAGAGCTATGCCCTGACACAAGCATTCGAGATATAAACAATGCTCTCTCTGATGCAAATGGAAATGTTGACGAGGCTGCTCAACATCTTTTTAGGAAGGACAGGTACACTGTTATCACTTTTTATAGCCATTCTAGCAGCTATACCTGTTGCTTATACTGTAATTATGTTTGTTATAATATTCAGGACATAATGTACCTGTAGTATTATATACCATAAATATATTCATATATATTCCTGTATATTTATCTGTGCCCATGGCTGCATCACAAACTGTGGAGCAGACCTGGGGTATGTTCACTTTAGAGATGAGACGCATGTACAACGAGCTGGCTAATAGCCTTTGCAGATTCTTTAAATAAATCAGGTTTACCATAAAGGAGTGCAAGTAAAGTGAGCTTGCATAACACTAATGGGTGTTTACAATTCCATTTTTAGAAGTTCAAACTGTTGATGTAGTGGACAGTGATGAAGATTTACCACAACCATTTGCAACATTTGAATATGATGTTTATGAGAATGATACTTCTTCTCCACTGAATGCCTTGAAGCAGTTTCAACAGAATAACATAGATGTAGAGAGTCCTGCTCAACGCATATCTGTGAGCAGAATGGATGGAGTTGTTGAATTGAGAAAAGACATACTTGGGATTTACAAGAACGCAAAAACAAAACTTAGAGTGAGACCAAAAGTGAGTTTTGAGGCGGAGGATGCTGTTGGCAGTGGCCCTGTGCGAGAGTTCCTTGCCAATGCCATGAAGATCGTAGAAGAGGGGGTACCTTCTACCTCATCCAGGCCACTTATCTTTTTTGAGGGTGAAAAAGACCATCTACTGCCTATCCACGACCAGTCCCTTCACTTAACTGGCACATTCAAGGCCCTCGGAAGAATAATAGGCCACTCTATACTGCATGGTGGTCCTGGACTCCGTGGTCTTTCACCAACGGCAGTTCACTATTTGACCACAAACAAGGAGTCATTATCACTGGAACAACCAAACAACCACCACCAGCAACCCTTGAAGATATTCCTGACATTGAGTTAAGAGAACTTATATAAGTACAATAGAAATACTTAACTTTAGAAATAATAAATTTTATGCACATCTCATTGTCATATTATTTGTTAATAAATTCTGGGACCTGGTCTAGTACTTCATATTTTTTTATTTATTTCTGACATTTAATAGCTGGACCTGTTAGAAATGGAGCAAAACAATCTAGCTGAGCTGAGATGTACAATGGAGCCTTACCTATTGGAAGCTGGATTGGACCCAGGCATATTACAGTCCACCCGCAAACTGGAGATAGATGGACTGATTATCTATCAAGTCAAAGATAAGAGGCGCTCAAAGCTAGATGACTTAGCTATTGGTATTAAATTTTATTGTATTTACTGTAATTGGTATTAGTTTAAGGAAATAACCTATATTTATGTTGTTACCGACTGTCTTTATAGGTATGGATGAAGTAAGTCTCTCAACATATTTGAAGAAGAATGCATCCCTGGTAAAAGTGGTATTTCCAAGAGAGGCAGAGCGACATATTGAGGCCAGTGAAATCATCCAAGCTGTAGTATTCGAAGGAAAAGAAAAAAGTGAAAGTACCAGAAGAATGGCTGACTTCCTCATGCAATACACCAAAGAGTTAGAGTCAAGGACAGATGGTAAGCAAAAGTGAATAAGTCATAGTTGTCGAAGAGTTCCTGAATGAAAAACCTTCCTTACAAAAAAGCGTGTATTAAACTTAAAATATAACACCTGAGGAGTCAAAGACTACCCCCTTGGTGCTACATTATGTTAGCAGCACTATCTATCCCATAACATCTGCAGAAAATATCATATACGGGGTTTATTATTTTTTAATATATTTTATTGTTTAGGTTCTGTTCAACTTGCTGACCTTCTAGTATTCTGGACAGGGGTTTCCATGATCCAGTCTAGTGGTAGTGAACTATTGGTCACATTTGATGGTGGTGCTAATATGCTACCTCTCTCAGAGACATGTTTTTTAAGAAGATTGTGTTGCCTGAAAAACACAACACATATGACCAGTTCAAGAAGAGCATGGATGTGGCACTGGCGTATGGCTCAGTAGGGTTCAGTTTTGTTTAAACATTGTTACAAATGACTTTGGACAAAAAGCCAGATTCTGTTACTATTTAAATTTCCTATTTATCCTCAAAGTACAGTCATTGGTCACACTGTTGTATATTATACTGTGCCAGTGTACTCAGTAAAAGAACCTTTTTAAATGTCTTAATTATTGCAGTTGTTGATCATTTGAGTGAGGGCTTCTGCCCCCTCACTGTAAGTCATATTCACAGTTCTTGGTAACATATTAACATAGGCATCAGAAAAGGGGCAATCTGTTTGTGGAACCTCAACAAGCTCTGGTTCTGCCTCTGGAATAGGCCCCTGCCAGTCAATACCATAGTTGCTATAATCACCCTATCATAAAGAAATAAAGCCATCAAATATATAACCTAATATTACAGTATGTGAAAAATACAATTTGGATTATAGCAATATATATATATATAATACCTGACATTCCAAATCCTCTGGACGTTGTGTACCTCTTGCTTCAGCCAATCCACTGATCCACAGCTGCATGGGAGATCTGTTTCTGGCTGTACTCAAGGGATGGCGAACATATGCTTTTGCCCAGTTATCTAAGTGTCTGTTAATGATGGGAAAAACACAAAATGAAGGCACCACAAATGAGCATTGTTATCAGCATCTAGAATTCCTTGATTTTCCATGGTATAAAATAACTCATAAAAAAGGCTAAGGCATCCACTGAACACATCTCTCCAGAGACGTTCGATCCTCTGATTGTGTGTGCTCTTGCCTCAAAGTAATACCAAAACATATTTAATGTTAAATCTTTCCCTAACTAAAAGTTACTCACATGCAAGATATGTAGGCCACCACTCATTAATGCTCCATCTGTTTACTCTCTGTGTTTTTTTACTGATATACAGAAACGTGACGAATAATTACATTTAGCAAATTACAATTTAAAGGGTTGTAATTATATACTGTGATAGGCTATAGCCAACATACCAATAAAAAATATAACAAAATGTATGTATTACCCCACTAATGCACCGGTGCCGGCCAGAACCAGCCTCTTAACATAATTTACTCAGTCTAATGCCACCAGATTTTACTCTAACACCAGATGATTTTACTCATCATGGGGAACCTCCCTACAGCAATGAGTTACATATGTGTCACCTGAATAAGTAACTTTGATTGCAACCGTTATTAATAATTTTATGTTTCCCTAAGGTGGTTTACCAGTTATCATGCTTTCTCTGCCAGGGCCTCGTTGAATGTGACTTAGCATGTATGCAGAGACATCCACATTTTCACCACCTTTGTCTGATCGCACACAGGAAGGTAGCCCATACTCATTCACAGCCCCAACAAAACATGATAAAACAGTTGTTGCTCTGTTATTGCTTGATGCTTTGAGGTAAACAGGGATTCTTGAGTAGCCATCAATACAACCGTGAATGACTATTATCCACCTGTAATTTAACATAAACAGTATAAACTTCAGATTCAGTGCCATTGTCTTTTAGTTTTATCTGATGGGTAAATTAATAACCACCACCATATGGATTGCTAGTAGATGTTCAAAACTTCTACTCCTCATTTTGCAGATTTGTTGGCTTTCTTTCTGGGGGGAGGGATCAAGGGGGCATGTGATGAGAATATTAGTCACAAGCCTTGCATACTGTGTGATGTAATGATTGAAGTGGCAAATATTTTTAGTTATTCAAGTAAATAATTGAAAGTAAAAGTAAAAAACATGAACTGCAAGTACATCCATGTACCGTATAAAATTACTGTACCTTATCAGCAGTGCTGTTACAGTTACAGTATATTTGTAACTAGTTACAGTTACAGTTACATTGTGGTAAATGTAACTAGTTACAGATACAAGTTAAACTTGGGAAAAAGTAACTAGTTACAGTTACAAATTACAATGAAATTTTTGTAACTAGTTACAAAGTTACATGATTTATTTCCTCTTAGTTTACTGAGTTTCCTCCTCTTATATCATGAACATAATATTTATTTTAAACTGTCTGTAAACAAACAATATAAATACAAGATGAACTAAGTGATTAATAATTGTCCCATATAATAACTTAGTGAGTCACTCATAGTCATAAACCAGAAACACTGACATAATAAATGTTTATTATAGCCTAAATAAAGTCTTTGTTGCATTTCACAAGTAGGCTATTTTCAAAATTTTTGTCAGTCATACTTGATCGATGTGGCCTGAAGAGCAATCCACCTGAACTGAAAAGGCGCTCACAAGTCGCACTGGCTGGTAAGGGTGTATTCAACTCAATGAACAGTTTGCGAAGTAGTGGCCACCTTGAATAATCACTGAGACTTTCAACCGGACTATCGAGAAATGACCTTAAACTTGATGCATCACTTGTAACTTTATTTTTCTTCTGAAAGAAATCACTATCATCTTTATCATCTGAGGCAGAGGAATCTTGATTCGCATCATCAGCAGCCCCTGGCTGCATCAAACATTCTAGCTTTTCATTTATAAAGGCAACACCTAAAATTTGGAAGAACTAAAATGCATACTGGACGATTGTGGCACCTTTCTAGACTTTCTACATATTTATACTATATATTAGTACTCCTACTCTAATAGTAAATACTAATGTAATATATACTAATAGCATGCCATTTTTGAATAAAAACCTTTTAGTGAGCATTACCTTTCTCAATAACATCATTATCCGTTGTCCAATCCTCCTTAAATTTAGGGTGAAGAATAGCGGCAGCAATAACCTTCCTGTCTTCAAAAATAGATTCAAACCGTCTATCTACTCCATTCAAGAGTGCTTGTACCAAGGGCTTGACAGAAGGAATATCCAACTTCTTTGCAAGTTTGTCTCTCAGAATAGATATTGTTGGCGCCAGATATCCCATGTAGGCGTTGGAATGGTTTGTTTCTCCCTGTAGGATGTTCAGAGCTTGAGCTACTGGTTTCATGACTTGTTCATAATTTTTGAGGAATAAGATCTCTGCAGGTTTAAGTCTAAAGTAAAACAAACAAGAGTAAAGTAAGCAAAGCCAAATGAAAATGAATCAGGTTTATTTCATGCCATAATATATTGTTAATACCATTCGTTGCAAACATACTTAG